GCGTGGCGCAGACAAAAGTGGTTGTGCAGATCTTCACACAAAAAACAAACAGCCCCTAACTATCTAGGCAAAGATTAATCACTAGGCGTCGTCTAGTCGGTTGTGTAACGCCTAGTGATTCATCGAGGATTTATCAATGACTAGTTAAGATTTTTACAACATTGATGAATCGTAAATCTTTAAAACTGATCAATCTTATAGGACAAAATATATGGAAAATCCTTACGGGTTTATACCTTTGTGGTGTATTTCGTTAGATGCAAGGTTTTTCGCGATCCAGATCGTAGAATCGTATGTCATACGATCTCTGTAACGTCCCAAAAATAAGACCATAAAAGTTTTCATTTTTGGATTAGCAAGACATCCAACCATATCATTATCATAAAACCAAAGTTATCAAAATATATTGATACATCGTCAATATCATAGTAAATCACAAAATGCGGAATCAAGTGGTGTGTGCTCTGCAATCATCATGAGCTCTTCCCTTTGGAACTAGAAATACCTAAAACATAACCTGAAAATCGTAATCACAAAGTTTAGTGAGTTCCCCAAATACAACATACCATACATACATAAATAAACATATAATTGGCCCCACCCTTCATCGAGCACCACCTGGCATCGAGCTCTGCTCGGTATACAGATCCGTCTGTCATCGAGCCCCGTCTAGCATAAATATAAACATATAAACACATAACACATGCAATAATCATGAAGATACATAGAATACATAGTCATGGGCCCCCGCCCGGTAAGCATACAAGTACATAACACATGCAAGAGTCACACATACATCTAGCATCCTAACATAATCAAATCATGGGTCGGCATTAGTGCCTTCGTCCCACTAAACATGGTGAGGAAACTCACCTCACACTGTTGAAGCTCACAGCTAAGTCTCTAGTTGCTGACCTGCTAAAATTCTCGCCCTATCAATCACAAATAACATCAAATTAATAATTAGATCCCAACTCACACTAAGAATCTAGACTAGGGTAAAAGACATTTTTACCCCTTTACACAACATGGCCCAAAGCCTAGGCCCAATCTAATTTGTCCAGAAGACCAAAATTCCAAAATAATCATTCAAAGCCCATTTATGGCCCAATTTTCCAAATTGGGCCCAATTCTCTTGCATGGGCTTTTAACAAAAAGTCTACTAAAATACCAACAGCCCAACAATAGAATTCTGATGGACTAACAAGGGTCAATACAACAATGGCCCAATACTGAGAAGCCTAAAACACCAAATCCCACTGTTGAGTATGTGGGGCATACTCAGCCTGTACGCTAAGCGTACTCACTTTAGGGCTTGCACGTTGTTCATACCAGCTTGACGCCTAACGTTCTCGGCTAGTTTGGTCAACTTGCTCATTCAGCTCTTAAACGGTTAAAACTTTACTCCAAAACTTAGATCTGATGACTTCCTTGAGATGGTTTATCACGTAAAGTTGCCAACTTTACATGCATGCATGGCTTAATGAGTCTCTTAGAGCTCAAAAGAGATTGATAACTGACTTAATACATGCATGAGACCATAAACACCATAAACTTTGCACCTTTAAGCTTAAGGAACTCTCTAATCAATAAGATCTACAAGATTTAGCTTCTGAAACGGCCTTAACCCATTAAGACCAACCAAAAAGGGTCAAAGAAGCATAGAACCATAACATGAAGAGATCTAAGCATACAAAATCAAGGTTGAGACTTTATACTTTCTTACAACTGAGAAAGGTGCCTAATCTCTAGTCTACAATCTAAAGCTCCAAGAAAGCTTCTTCACCAACTCCTTCTTCTACCAAAAGCACCAACTAACCAAGGAAACACCCCAAAAGGTCAAGAACACTAAAAAAATGCTACTAGAATTCGATATTAGGGTTTTAGGACAATAGTTGGGATACATACCTCCCACTAGTAGAATTTTCATATAACAATAGTTTTCATGCTAGTATCGATCGAACCCCATTTGAGATGTTGTATGATCGGAGGTCCAAGACTCCCGTATGTTGGGGGAGGTTGGGCACCGAGTCATGGGGAGCACCGAGGTGGTGCTCAGGACCATCGAATTGATTCAGTAGGTGCGTGATAAGCTGCGGATCGCGTAGAGCCGCCAGAAAAGCTATGTTGATCGGCGTCGCTCGGGTCTTGAGTTTCAGGTGGGAGACTTTGTTTTGCTGAAAGTTTCACCATGGAAGGTCATCATTTGGTTTCAGAAGAGGGGCAAGCTAGGGCCCCGGTTTATTGGCCCATTCAGGATTACTGCCCAGGTGAGCAAGGTAGCCTACTGATTGGATCTACCTGTCGAGCTTAGTCAGATCGACACCACCTTCCACGTGTCTCAGCTCCGAAAGTGTGTCGCTGACAAGGTCGCATTCATTTCCTTGGATGATATTCAAGTTGATGAGAGCCTGAATTACGTAGAGAAACCAATAGCGATTATAGACTAAAAAATGAAAGCCCTACGGAACAAGAAAGTGAGGCTAGTGAAGGTGCAATGGAAGCACCGAAGAGCCTCCAAATGGAACTGGGAGCCGAAGGATGAGATGAGAAAGCATTATCCGGACCTTTTTGCATCAGTATACTTCAAGGATGAAGTCTAGTTCAAGTGGGGGAGATTTGTAACGCTTAGTCCAGGTATGAATGAATTCTAATTTCTTTTTAAGTATTGAAAGGAACTCAACAAGTTGGGAGGCTCCAACTCGACGAGTAGAAAGCGTTCCAACCACGTAGATCGGAGGATCTACTCGACGAGGTGGGAGCCCCAACTCGATGAGTTGACGCTGGCAATGAAAACCCTAATTTTCGGGCATTGTACCATATTTAAAGGACTTAACCTCTAGAATTGGCCTCCTTACCAGCCTATATGTCGGAGATTTTCTCACTCTAATTTGAAAGCCTTCAATAAAACACTTAGATACTAAATTAAGTTTAAGCTCTTCTTTTCATTTGAACTATTGAGACAACTTCACATACGATTAATGATTGGGGGCTATAAAACCTTTATATTTTTTATTTGTTAATTCGAGCAATGGTAAGGGTTCTGGCATTCCCTAATGAGTGCTTTATGTTTCTTCATAATTTGAAAAATAATAAGGGCACTTTTCCTATCGGGCTTGTGGGCTTAATTTCCTCCTCTTTAGATTCACTCACATCCCCAACAAATTTAGTAAAGCTTTTGAATTGTTCCATTAGACCGTCGTGTGGAATTATACTATCATCATTACTTTTTCTTAATCAATTGGAGATTCATCAACGTCAAATGTTGGACCAATATCATCAACTTTAAATTTATACCTAACATCACCCCTTTGTATAATCATATTATAAGAAGGAACTTGATTCAATGTCATGTGTAATAAATTATAAATTTGGTTACTTCCAACATCGGAAGACTTATTGTCACCATAATGATTTTCCCATGGAAATCGATTAATACCACTTCCTATAAACATGATTAACAACAAACAATTGTATTGTGTTAGTAGTTGTACTACTAACAAAAGTAAGAAAATATTTTGCATCACTATCGTTAAGAATTTATATAACTATGTTTAATTCAGGATATTGAAAAGCTAGACGTATTTGATTAATATGTAACCTGGATTTCGAAGCAACCAACGTAATCAACCAAAAAAAACTTGATATCATTGTTAAAATCTACACCAAAACATGTTTAGTCTGAAGCAATACACTACATAGATTTGTGGATTCGCATTCATTATCCTCCACTAGAAACATGTACTCTTCAAAACTACTTATACATACTCATTTTTTATTACCCAAAAGTTGTATTTGGTTTATGTAGCAACAATGACAATATAAATACCCTAATATTAACACGTCAGAACATTACTATTGAATGTATGTTCCGAACAAATGATCCAGAATAAACTATTTAGTTCGGATAGTATGAGTGTGAGATTTCAGACGAATCTTTTACCAATTACCATCAACTCCAAAATAATCTTAACTACTGGGTGATACTATATTCCGGACTAGATGATCATTTAAAAAAAAAAATAGTTAGTTTGATTATAATGGTTAAGTTAATTTTAAATCACGGTAATATATCAAGACTAAAGATTTAGGTAACAAGAAACACATGTCCAATTTAGGTTTTTCCTTTCCAAGTTTACAAACAAAAAATCTCATGATTCTTGATTTTCTTCTTTCTCCATTCTTCTGAAACAGGTAGCAAAATCTATGGGCTTTTTAGACTTCTTTTTTCAAGAACTATTTCAAGGAAAATTCTAACTACAACCAATACCTTTTCCCCATAGTTAGGCAAAAAAAAAATGGTATCTTGATGCTTCTTTTTCCTCTCTATCCTCTCCTTCTCTCTCTATACATACATATGTATGTATAAATTGTGTGTTTGAACTTTCTTGAACTCAGAAAAAGTTGACACCTTTCAGTTTCTTATCATGTATTCATTCTTGTGAAGAGTGACTGAGATTCTTTACCATTTTTTTCTCTTTAAAAATGAAAATTTAATATCTTTATAATTGTTGTAAAATAAGTATAAATATGAAGTCATACCCTATAACTTATCTTGATCACACGGGTTAGAATTAAAAGGTGCTTTTTTGTCTCATCTTCTTTGATTTCGTTTTCCCAAAAGCCCATTTTTCAGTTTCTCGAAAGAAGTGCTTTTTTTGCCCTCTTGGAATTTTGCAAAACCACAGAAAAAAAATAGGGTAGTTTCACTTTCTATGCTTCTACTAACCTTTTGGTTCATTGGCTTTTTCTGTTTGAGTGCTTTTACCATTTGAGAAAAACTTTGTAAAAGCTCTCAACTTTGGGGGCTTATTGAAAAAGACACTGGGAAGCAAGGTATATTCCTGCTTTTGTTCGTATTTTCTTTCATCATACACACACTGAAAACACACACAAAGCACAAATCTTTGGTCATTTTATTGAGAAGCACACAAATTTCTATGTGGGCTTGTTGCTAATTTCATTTGGCTGTGTTTAGATTTTGTTAAAGATTAAAGGCAATGGCAGATTGGTATGGAAAGAGTTCGATGGAGGATCAAGATTTTCAAGAAGAAGATGTGTGGAGTGTTATGAAGGGAAGAGAAGAGTCAAACACAAAAGTCAACAAACCCCATAAGATCAAGAAAAGATCATCATCATCATCATCATGTGCATGGACATCTCACGATGGTGCAAGAATGATACCTAGGTGCAATGAGGGTAGGATGCCACATCATCAGCAACAATCCTCAGCTCCAATGGGTATCCCCGACTGGTCAAAGATTTACATGGAGAAAAGCAAAGGTCCAAGTGATGGATGCTATCAAGATAGTGATTACCATAATCATGGTGCCCATGATGATGATGATGGTGAAATGGTGCCCCCACATGAATACATTGCTAGAAAGCTAGCTAGAAGTCACATTACTTCTTCTTCTATGTGTGAAGGTGTTGGGAGGACTCTCAAAGGAAGAGACCTCAGCAAATTGAGGAATGCCATTTTGACCAAAACCGGTTTTTTAGAGTAATCTTCCATGCCCATCCATCAAACCATCATCATCATCATCATCATCATCATCACCATCACCATCATCCTCAATCTTGTTTTGATTTTCTCTTGGTTACTTTTCTAGAAGTTAGCAATAGTTAGCGGTTCCAACATGAGATCTTTATGATTAGATATATCATATATGTAAGCGGGAGTATCGAATAGTTTTGTTATGAAAGTTTGAGGATTTAGTTCTAGCACTTGCATAGTATAATGTCGATTTAGTTCATCATCTATATATCCTTCTTTTTATTTAAATATATTATTATACTATGATCTTACAAGAGCTTTGATCTATCACCATAGCCTTGTTTTATACCCAAAACGAAGTTATTTGGTTTAAGTTATAATAAATATCATTTCTTTATGATCGCATTTTGTTTTATTATAACTTAAACATGATTTATGAAAAAATGGTAAAACTTTTGTGGTATATATTTGTTTTGTTATTTGGATGGTTTAGCTTGTACATCATGTCATCATTGTCCACTTAAAATCTTGGAACTTGTCCCATGCAATTTCCCCCCACTTCAATAAAATAATTTAAATAAAATATTGGTGCGAATACTATATTTATAATTATAATTTTATTGCAAATAAATTATTATGTTTTCTACGAAAAAACTAAAAAAATGCTAGGATATATAATGAAAAAAAAAATGTTAGAGAGAGCTTAATTTCGAATTATCATATGATTTTTTTTGTCACTTACGAAACACCATATATATACAATACACAGTGAACCAGATGCATTAGAAAATGGCCTTCAATAGTTTTTTACTTTTTTAAACTAAATTTGTAGCCCATTCTTATTGTTTAAGCTTTTCAATTTTTTGTTTCTATTTATAGGAATTGCATGCAAAAAGTTTCTGTTTATTGGGAATTGTATGCAACCCGTGTTTTCGTGTATATGATATGTTATGTTTAGTACTGATTTTAAGTTATTGATTAAATTTGAACTTTTGAACCTTCAAAACTGCTTTTAAAATGCTCGTCTATAAATTTGACATCAATTTACAATAAAATTATTTTTTCTTTTAAAGTGTATTTACTGATAACTAGAAATTGTTTTCTCCTGGGGATCGGATGCAAGATTTTGCTTACTATTGTCAAGCCACATAAAATGAAAGTACTACTATTTATCATTTTATCGTTTTGTGTGCATGGTTTCTAGAGGGACCAAACTTATCGACACATGAAAGTCTAGAGACCAAACATACAAACATGAGTACATGACAATATACAAAAGCTGAAGGGGTGGTAATTAGCGTTGTTCAAATTTAAGGGAGTAAAAGTGATATTTTATAAAGTAAAAGGGTGAAAAGTGTCATTCTACAAAGGGTGGAAAGTATCATTTTAAAAGTAGAGGGATTGAATTGTTAATGTAAGAAAGTATGGGGACTAAATCTGCCAATATAAAAAAGTTTTGGCTAAAATTAGAAAATAAATTTGTGGCTAAAATGAAAAATAAGAAACTTTATGGCCAAATTATGAAAACATAAAAATACAAGACTTCGTTTTTTATTATATATAATGTATTATACTATTATGTTTATCTTGTATTCTTGTGGGTTATTGTTATATTTAGTTAGCCCAATACTATTTAGTATAGCATGACCCAAAGTCTTATTTTTATGTATATATCTTGTAATTTATTACTCACTTTGAATAAAGGAAAACATTTCTCTCTTTATGGCATCAGAGACCAAGTCTCACTTTTATAAAAATTCACCTTCCTTTCTTCCCTCCCAATACCCTTTCTTCTCATACGGTTGAACCCTAACAGCCTCCCCAACCCACCGTCAATAACTGACAATGCCCCTCTTACTCATAAAGCATTCAATATAACCGGAGTTAAAACCTATGTGCCTCTAATCCTCGGTCTAGAACGACTCAACTATGATGCTTGAAGGGAATCTCTTCACCGCACATTGTAGTGTGTTTATTGTGATCAACCACATAGTTGATTAGAGGAAATGATTTATAAGACCAACGACGTTTCCAATCGTTCAAAAAAAAACCTCAATTATGTTTTGTCTGTTCAAAAACACCCAACGAACTTAATTTTTTGTTTAAAAATGCCCAACTAACTTACACTTTCATTCAGTTCTCATTAGGGTCAACTGACTAATGAAACTTAACAAATAACATGCCTTATGACATGGAATTAAATATCTAGAAAAATGTCTTGTAAGACCAACGAAGTTTTGAAACCATTCAAAAAACTTTAATCATGTTTTGTCTGTTCAAAAAAACCTAACGAACTTAACATTTTGTCTAAAAAAACCCCAATGAGCGTACGTTTTTGTTCAATTCTCATGACATGCAACCAGATTCATTAGGTATACAATTTGTTGGAAAATGATGTTGGAAAATGACATGGCATTATATCTAATGACATGGAATAAATAAACTAAAATTTCCCTTTAAATATCGATTTAGGGCTTGGAGAAGAGAAAAACGAGCGTCTGTATTAGATCTCTTGTAATGGTTACTTCTTCCTCTTCTTTCCTCTCAAACATTGATGTCCAAATCAAGATCTATAAAAAAGATGTTTGATGATGCAAACCCTTGTAGATATGGACACCCTTCTCGGATTTGGACTTTTAGAACGGACGATCATCAAGAGAAAAAGTTCAAGGTTTGTTCGAATAGATGAGTAAGTGTGTTGAAAGCTTTATCATGTCCATCTTCTATCTATATGGTTGGTTATCTTAATAAGATCTTGTTTTTTAAGGAACCAAACAAATATATAAAAGATGGAAATGATAAAGCTTTCAATTATACTTACCCATATGTTCGAACAAGCCCTGAACTTTTTCTCTGGAAGATCCTCCATTCTAGATGTCTAAATCCGAGAACGCTGTCCACATGTACAAGGGTTTTCATCATAAAATATCTTCTTTGTAGATCTTGAGTTGGACATCAATGATGAGAGGAAGAAGAAGAATTAGTCATTACAAGAGATCGAACACATATGTCGTTCGTTTTTCTCTTCCTCAAGCCTTAAATCGATATATAAAGGGCAATTCTAATATGTTTATTCCATTTAGTTAAATACAATGATTTGTCATTTGCCAACTAATTGTATACCTAATGAATCTGGTTGCCTCTAATGAGAATTTAAAATAAAAAAAAAAAAAAAAAAAAAAAGTGTAAGTTCGTTGGATTTTATTAGACAAAATGTTAAGTTTGTTGGGTTTCTTTAAAAGGTAAAACATGATTGAAGTTTTTTGAAAGCTTTCGAAACTTCATTGGTCTTACAATACAATTTTCTGATATTTAATTCCACATCATAAGCCACGTCACTCGTTGACTTTTATTAGTCGGTCGATCCTAATGTGAATTAAACAAAAGTGTAAGTTAGTTGCATTTTTTAGACAAAATGTTATGTTCATTGGGTTTTTTATACAGACAAAACGTAATTGGGGTTTTTTAAATGGTTTGAAAACTTCGTTGGGTTTCTAAGTTATTTTCCAACAATTTTACACCAAAACTGAAAGAAAGTTGACGAAATTGTCAAGTTTTGGCTCTATGGCTCTTTTTTCAATCTCTGCTTAGCATGGTGTTAAAGCAAGACGACACCGCTCATCAAGTTTAAAAGAACCTTAAATCGCTTTTCTACGATAACAAGGACGCCAAAAGCATGAAATTTAACATTGAACTTCAAAATATCTCTATGGTGACCTCACTGTCACCATAACCAAAGGCTTGACAGACCTTCTTTCTAACCTCGAGCATCAATATGTGATACCCGACAAACACTTGGTTATCTACACGATCAATGGCCTTTCAACCAAGTTTGATTCGGTTGAAAATATTACTATGTATCCATCATCACTCCCGACCTTTGCAAAAACTCATTCCATGTTACTTATGAAGGAATAACATATGTTGAGTCTCGATTGGCGAACAATAGAAATACATGCAGTCGGTAACTCCTCCTCGTTGACGATCTTCGCATGCTGTGAACTCCTTAAATCGTCCTAATAATCACCGTCTGAATCACCGCCAACAACAGCAACACCGCCGACACGACATCAACCGAATTCCACCACCACTTCAAACCAACAATATAGTTGAGTCTTCATCCCCTACCAGACCAGCAACAATAACTCGACCAAAATCATCCCCCGCATGTGCTGATGTCATGGCCTCAACAGGGGTTGTTTGGCTCCTTTCCTCAACAACTATAATAGCAAGTGGGGTTCTCTCATCAGCCAAGGTACACGACCCAACAACAGATCAAGCCTCGTGCATTATTCATGAATCAATCAAATTTTACATACCCAACAAAATAGTTATGGGTATTGGACTTGGAATGACCCATATCAGCCCACCAGCTTACCCAGACTTTTTCACACCATGTCGTTACACAAACGATTAGTTCATGGACATAGAAGCGATTGATCACGTGCACGCCAATGTAGGTATATTAAATATTGACCTATAAACTTGACATTCTCATTCAAATTTAGTTGTTAATGGGTCCTTAATGCCTATAATTACGGCAGTCGGCAGGACACACCTCTTTTCCGATTCGCAACCTATATCGTCCCTTACACATTAATAATGTCATTATCACCCCAAAAATATCAAAAATCATATATCTATTTGTTGGTTCGCTAAAAAAAAAATGTTCTATTAAATTTAATGAATTTGGGTTTACGGATTACCGGAGACAGTGCCACCTAATCTGATGCGAGAGTAACATCCCACTTTATATGCGACAGTAACGTCCCACGTTACATGGTTATTCCTTCCACTCCTCAGGCACTTGTCTCACTGAGTCCTTCCATATGGCATCGAAATTTAGGACACCCGCATCAACTAATTATTAATGTCTTTAGCGTCAAATAAATTTATTTCATGTAATAGTAATAAATTTCATCAGTTTTGTCGATCATCTCAACTTGGAAAACACACAAAACCTTCGTTTAATTTTTGGTGTGTGTTTTGGTGTCGGTTTTGCATGCTTTGAATTTTAATGGGTTGAATTTGGTAGTTTTGAAATCAGTAACGTTGGTGATATTTTCGAAACATTAAACCAAGACTTTCATTGCTAGATAGGGGTGTTCACGGGGCGGCTCGGTTCGGATAGTAATAAAATTATGAACCATGACCACGGGGCGGGTACCTCATGCGCACTAACCGAAACCGAACCGTATTGACAAAAAACCGAACCGAACCGAACCGTATGAAAGCGGGTAACCACGGTTCGGTTCACGGGTACCCGCTAAAATATAAAAAATTAAATTCAATTGAAACTACAAACTCCATTTTAATTATCTCTTTCTTAAAATTAGTAAGTCAAAAAGTTTACAAAAAAACATAATGAAGTTTAAAAAACGTAATGAGTTCAAATATCATATATTATAATTTGTATAATAAATACAATAATAAAAATAACAAGAAAATCAAATGAACATAGAATAACAAAATTGGAGTTGTCGATATGGATTTTTGTTTAGGTTATTGGACTCGTAGATCAATCAAAACAATACTAATGAAATAATACTTTTTTTGCTTTATAATACTTTTCCCGGGACAAAGTTGTTGTGGGCCTTGTTTGCGATCTTCATTTACCTTCTAGTTCTCAGTATGCTGATATTTTTACGATGGGACTCCCCACAACTTTATTTCTTGACTTCAAAAACAGTTTGAATGTTCCTTGTTCTCCCGATCAAATGGGTATGTTCTGTGGATTATTGTTGTATTTAGTTAGCCCGATATTGTTTAGTATCGCATGGCCAAAGCCTCATATGTATGCATATATATCGTGTAATCGTTTACATGGTTTGGATCAATGAAATCATTTCCCTCTTAATTTATGTGCTATACATTTGTTTTTACTTTGATTTTATCGTAGTAAATGAATATAATTTGACACTACTGTAATATCGTAAATTAACCATTACAAATTGCTAAAATCGTTTCTTTTTAATACATTAATCCTTTTTATATCCTAACAGCAATAATGATTCTGTTTTAACAAATTTACAAATAAAAAGTTAGAAATATGCAAAGGTTTCGGTTTAACGTAACAGACTTAGCCATGTGGAATTGTGGATTGCGTAATCGTTGCTCATTGGGTGTATCTTATACATTATGTGACCAATGAGCCCAATCCATTCATTAACCCACCCACTCTTACAAGAGCCCACTAAAAGCTTACTTCTTTTTGTAATAATAAGTTATAATATGAAAACATGGAAACATGTATGTGTCTGCTCTATTTGGTATTTCATAGTATATTTTCTATTTTGTTTTTCTATTTTTATAACTTTAAAATTAATTATAATGTCAATTGATCCTAGACAGTCAAACCGGTTGAACTGTCGAACCAATAACGCGGCCAATTTGAGATTCGGGTGTCAAAATATTTATCATGAGCTAGTTTTTGTACCGGAACAATATCATCAACAATTTGTGAGTCAATTTTTATTTGCAGTGGTTCTATGGTAAGGAACTATAACATTTGTTTTTTCATGAGGTTACTTGGAAGGATCAAACTGAATGTTCAAATCAAAATTAAGCTTTTTGTTTTTTTGGGTGCAGTAGGTAGTTATTCTGGAGATAAATTTATCAGCCACGATGGATACTTGGTTGTGGCTTATAGGAACGGATGGAAATTTTTCGGTTTCTAACACTAGAAGGTGGATTGACAAAAAGATTTTGCCTAATATTGACATAAAGAATAGATATCGTTTTATTCCCCGTAAAATTAATATTTTAGTATAGATGATGTTGTTGGATAGATTGTCGATTAGGTTCAATCTTGAATATTGTGGTATTGTCATTCCTTCCATTTTATGCCTAATACATAACTTAGAAGTGGAGCAGTTGGACTAAGTATTCATCCACTCCGAGGTTGTGGCTAGAACTTGGAATGTGGTGTTCAAATGGCTAGAAGATTTTCATGTTTAGTTTAATTCTATTAATCAACTTTTCCAACAAGTTGATAACTTACGTGTTTCTACAAATAAAAGGAGTGCTATCTATATATATGCGGTGTGTTGTACGATGTTATGGTTTTTATGGAGGTATTGGAATGATAGTGTTTTTGGAGGAGGAAAAATGAGAAAGGACATTATTTTTTATTCTATTATTTATTCTTTTAGAGAGTATTCGTTTCTTTGGTTTAGTAATAGGTTCAGTAAAATTGTTTTCATTGGAATTATTGGTTACAATTTCCTTTAAACTTTTGGTTTGTTCTCTAGCTACTTGCTAGAGTTTATTCAGAGGATGAATCATCGTTAATTTCTTGTATAATAACTTTTATATGGGACATGAAATAGATATGTAGGTGGGTTTTACAATATTCAGTGTAGATATTTATCTTCTTAAATTCCTCACATCTTGAAAGATTAATCACATCTTGGTTGTTGCCAAGTGGTTGCAGACCAAAATCAACTTGAATTTCAAGCATGCATAAATCCTAATACATAGGCTCGTGTTTCACATTCAACTCATGTATAGAAACTCTTCGATTTCTACATTGTCAACGTAGATATATTTTCTTTAGTTAAGAGTATCAACAATAGGTTAGAGATGGATTATGCAAATCATATATGTATATATAATTAGTATATTATTAAAGGCTGCAACACGTTAGGATGAGAGAGAGAGAGAGAGAGAGAGAGAGAGAGAGAGAGAGAGAGAGAGAGAGAGAGAGAGAAGGGCAAGAAAAAGACCAAAAAGCCCTCGTTACCTCGTGTGAGGGGCAACTAATGTCTCTTCAACGGACTTATACAAAAGGTAATACAGGGAGGGACCTTTATTGATGAATCTGCCAACCATAAGGATCATTGATGTTAAATTTCAAAAACTAGAACCAACCTTGTAGAAAGTCATATACCAAAGGGACCAAAACTGTAATTAACTCTACGTTTATATATATATTCCGTGTAGACTTGGGAAAACCCAAAATTTGCTTCATCTCCTTCCGTGTTGGAATCAAGAACCACGCCCCTTTCCTTGTACTCAATTTCTCCTTTAAAGAAGCCTTACAAAGTTGGATTATACCCAACTTCTCCAATCATTCTCTCTGTTCTTTTCTTGATTTTGACAGGTAAACCTATTAATTTTAATTTCTTGTCGTTGCGTTCTTCATTGGGTTTAAAGAAGCAACTCTGTCACGTTTCATGTATTTTTTTTCTGCGATAACCCTGTTTTGTTCGTTAATCGCGTTTTAAGCATTCAATCCGTTTGTTGGGGTTTTTGTTGTGATGTTTTTCAATTGTTTGAAATCTGCAGAAAGCAATCAGAGTGCAGATATGGCTAAATGCTCGTTCAAGCTCGAACACCCATTGGGTATTGTTCCATTAATCACAAATTCTTTTTCTTTTGTGGTTTTCCTGTTTCTGTGTTAACCTTTTAATCGTTTGATTCTTGATACTTGATCATTAGATAAGAATATCTGTTTAATTGGGTGTTTCGATGTCTGTTTTCAAAACGATTATTGCATCAAGATGTGCACTTAGATAATAAGATCAATTGCTAAACCTGAATTTCTCCTTTTTGTTTATGTAGAGAAGAGGAAATCTGAATCCTCTCGCATCAGAGAGAAGTATCCTGATAGAGTTCCAGTAAGATATTTTGTTTCTTCATCAATCAAACTTTATTTTATTTTATTTGTCTATCGACTCTTAATTAAAATTTTGGTTTCAGGTGATTGTTGAGAAAGCTGAAAAATCGGACATTCCTGACATAGACAAAAAGAAGTATGTAAATGTTAACATTTCCCATTTGTTGCATCTATCTTAGTTTAGTTTATATAGGATTAAATGAAAGAAATAACAATCTAATTTCATCGATTTGATTAAATCATTACAGTTTTTACATCGGTGACATTTATATAAAAAGATATGAATGTGATGGGACCTATAAAATGGTAATAAGTTAATGTTTTTATTGCAGATATCTAGTGCCAGCTGATTTGACCATTGGTCAATTTGTGTATGTTGTTCGTAAAAGGATCAAACTTAGCTCTGAAAAAGCTATTTTTGTTTTTGTCAAGAACATGCTCCCACCAACTGGTAAGAATGAATGACTTAATACATAAAGAATGTCTTAATGAAGAAATTCAGATAAATTATGTTAACATTGCTTTTTGACTGTTAAACAGCTGCTTTGATGTCTGCAATTTATGAGGAAAACAAGGATGAAGATGGATTCCTCTACATGAGTTACAGTGGTGAAAACACATTTGGATCTTTTGAAATGTGATAATTGTCGATGTGATATGAAAAAATTGTAAATTCCTAATCTGTAAATGCAAGTATATGTTGGTTTCAATTCGAATACATGGTTATAATGTGACAGATTCAATCATTTTATACTCTGATTCTTGTGCTTTTTTTACATATTGTTGATATGATAAAATGAAAGTGTGTTATGAATGAAGGATAAGCTTCTTTTCTAAAGTACAAACATATGATGATAATGGATTTCATCTACTTGAGTTTTTGTTAAAATGATCAGAAATGTGAACTTGTGAATATCCTTCCTTTCAAAATAGATAAATAATAAGTTATTTTGAATTTTCAAATCAAGATTTTGACCTCAAAAGAGCCCCAAAACCATATCCATTTATATTATATATATATATAATATATGATATTATAATTACTCAAACAACAAGGTCCACATGACATATAGAGTTGATATGATATGTGTCAAAAATGTCACATAACTTTTATTCATCACGACTGCATTCTCAACTACACCAGTTACTCTTTCTTGTGAAGTTCTTTCAAAAAGTCTTCATTGTCAACCAGAACCTACAATCAAACAATTCAATACGATACAATTAATCTTAGACTTTTTTTAAAAAAAAAAGGTCAAACAAACTATTTTGAAAAGTCAAACGTTGTAAATGAAAGATAATTTACCGTTTTCCAACCATCTGGATCAAGAAAAGCAGTGATTTTAGTATTGATCCCAGGAATTGGTCCAGGTTGCCTTGTTACCTTTCCACCAAGCTCTTTGATAACATGATTAACAACTTCACCACTTTTATACACATCACTCGTACTAATTGCAACCTATATTTCATATCATCATTCAAAATCATCAAAGTCCAAATTCTTGCATTTTATATGCCAAACTAACAAACATAACAAGGGAACAAATTTACCTGTGCATATGCATTTCCTTTGGTATATTCGGTTACACCATAATTGTATGTGAGCTCCAAAACAGTTGTTTCCTTTTCTTCTGCATACCCCATCATTGCCAAAGTGTACTGTGTTTCAAAAAAAAAAAATGCTTCAATTGTTGTTTCTTTTTCTCAAATATATTTTAAACATCATCTATCAGAGAATATACCTTTTGTTCTGGTCTATCAATTTTCCTACATAACTGCATCCCCAATGCCTACAAAGAGTTGAAACAAGATATCAATAATTTCCTACATATGTTCTTAATTCTACAAATCAAATATACATACATTAGATTTTTATTAAACAAATTAAAATTTACCTTCTCATAGAACTTAATTGATCGATCAAGATCACCAACACGAAGCATCACTTGACAAAGGGGTTCAGGAGTTCCTCCTCTTTCAATGAGCTCAAAAAGATAGCCATCAGGATCTTTAGCAAAAGCAATTACACTTGTTCCACCTTTAACGGGTCCCGCTTCCCTTGTTATAGTTCCACCTTTAGCCTTAATATCTTCAGCAAGTTTATAAACCTAAAAAAAAACACAAATTTAACCCAGAAAAATAATCTAAATAGTCATACAAAGCTTAATATAATACATACATCTGAAGTGGCAATTGCAAAATGCCCAAATCCAGTTCCTATGTCATACTTATCCACTCCGTAATCTGTGAATTAACGAAAACCAAAAACAAATAAACATGATTATCTGTAAAATTCCAAAAAGAAAAACTAATTTGAAATATTTAGATCTTTAGAAGCATACTGTAAGTAAGCTCCACAACAAAGTTTGATTCTTCTGGACCAAATCCGAGAAAAGCATTTGAGTACTTCTCCTCTGGTATGTCTCTTTGCCTCAATAATTTCATCCCAAAAGCTTCTGTGTAAAATCTGATATTTATAAAATGTTAAAATAAGTGAATTATGTAATATAGAATAATCTAATGGTTAATTTGGGTGACTTACTTTATGCTGCGTTCAAGATCACCAACACGATAGACCGCGTGTAGGAAACGACGCTTGTCTTTTTTTGGAAATTCCAATAACTCGGCACTTGGGACATTTGATGCAGATTCAGCCATGATGAAAGATCGTAGATTGCTAATCTGTTTATAAATACAGTGTTAATTCTAAGATTGAAAAGGGAAATGATCGCGTCTATATGATCCTTACTTTAGAGGACTTTCTTGGTGTGTTTGTTTTATGTAAATTTGATCGTTATGTTGGTAACAAGGGTTAATAAACTTGAACACTTTACAGTAAACAATTCAAAAACAGAACATTAGCATAAGTTTATTGATGAATTATTTGATTTCTAAAGTGGGTATAAGTTTAATTTGTGCAAGATTAATCTTTTAGGGTATACGATTGCAAGCCCTAATTTGTGCTTAAATATAACAGATACCAAAAAAGGTCGACAGTTTACCGATTATTAAGAACCCTAAACCTAAAACGAAAACTACCATCAGAAATTAAGGTGATTTTCGCAGAATTAAATGGAAACCAACAAAATCTTTAGCATAATAACTGATTGAACATGATTTTCGATCTTATAAACAATATAATCTCAAGTTTGATTTACCTTTGTCAGAGAGAGAGAGAGAGAGAGAGAGAGAGAGAGAGAGTGGAGTGATCGGTGGAGACTGAAGAGCCAGAAGCACAAAGTGACAGAAGTTATTGCATTTATTTTTCCGTTTTAACCTTGAGTTTCATTTCCGTTTCAAAAATCAAAATTTGTTACAAAGTTGGTCCTTACGGTTAGGGAAAAAAAAAAAAAAGTGTTATAAAATCCAATATCTTTTGAATTTATATGGATGCTTCAAAATCGGATGTTTTACATTGTTATGATGTTTTATGTGGTTATGGTTTCTGTCAAATAAAAAATTAAAAAAATATATATTAGAAGACTATTTTACCTTTTTAATATTATTTTCATGTTTTCCTAATATTACAATAATTAAGGAAAAAAAAAAACTTTTCACATGTTTTTTTTACTATTTGTGTGTGTATGGATACTCCCCAACAAAAGGAATCACAACATTTTTTGCTTTACAGTCAAAAAACCAAAAACCAAAAAGAAATGTTGTTCGTCTGTGTTTGTGTTTTGATCGAAAAATAAATGATGATAATAATGTGTTTTCCATCTTTTTGTTGTGAAATTTTGATAAGCTTTACTCTTTCGATCGTTGCAAATCTGTTTTTTTTTCTTGGTTCGTATGGGTTCATCTGGATTCTTTATTCGTCTAGGTTCGTCTGATTTCTTTATTCGTCTAAGTTCATCTGGGTTTTTTCATCTGTATAATGTGTATTTTATTCCAATGTGTATGTGTATGTTAGATGTTTGCTTTGCAAGTAAAAGGTGAGGAAGAAGAAGATGGAATATATATATATATATATATATATATATATATATATATATATATATATATATATAGAGAGAGAGAGAGAGAGAAAGAGAAAGAGAGAGAGAGAGAGAGAGAGAGAGAGAGTAATATCCTATTTTGAGAAATTCTTATTTTAGGATTATGGACAATAGATGAAGCAAATTGAGGCCTTAGGCTTCAATGGAAAGAAGTTTAGACTATATTGGATGTGCATGATGGTGGGAAAATGATTTAAACCTTGGATTATTTGATGAAAGTCGAGGGGTAAAAATAGGAAAGGTTATGCTTCGGGCTTCTTGCGTAAATTAAAAATTTTAGTTCGAGATGTATTTAGTCATAAGTATCAAGATAGACATGTAGAGCTCATTGTTACCTTTCTGTGAATATAAAGATCATTGAAAACGGAGTTGAAACGAAAAAGTTATGGTTGTTTGAAAGTTAAGTTGGAAAAAGGGGTCTGGTACATTGGGGTACATTGGGCGTACACTAGCTAGTACGTTGGGCTGAAGGAAGTTATGTTTTTAGAGTGTTACGTTGGGTGTAGCTTTAGGTACATTGGGCGTACCGCCGCATTACAAAAACATTATTTCCATGGTTTTAAGCCTTATTTAAGGACTTTAACCCTTGGGGTCCTTCCTAACATCAGCCTCCACCTTCTCGAGCCTCCAACTCGAAACCCTAGCCTCCTAGATCAAATCTTGATCCTTTTTGTGTTTTGAGTGCATTCTGGATGTAAGAGAAGTTCAAGCTTGTTGATGGTTGAAGCTCGAGCTTGTGGATCCAGAACCTACATGGCTTTTCTCAATTCCAAAAGGTATAAAGCTTGAATCTTGATGATACATGTGTTAGATCTAGCTGGTTTTAGATTTTATGAGCTTTTTGGTCACTTTAGTGCATTAAGTTTAGATCTTAAAAGTTTGTGACATTGTTATGGATAAATTTTGAAACTTTATCTATCTAAACATCATATTGATTCAGATCTAAAGGTTAGAGACTTAGACTTAATGGATTAAATTGAAAAGATGAATTTTTGGTCTTTATAAGACTTCAAGACTAGATATTGGTTGTTTGGACATACAAATATGATCTTGGTCCCTTTCTTACCTCCATGCAAGAGGCATGATCCTTTGGTTTGTGTATTAAATTAGGTTTTGGTGTATGAACTCCTTCTAGCCATGGAAAATCATAAAGTTGGAAACTTTATGACTTAGATATTTGGGACTAGATTTGAGCTTTGGATGTGAGATCTTAATGAAATAAGCACTTAATGAAGGTAACTGGAATTGGTCGGGTACGTTGGACGTACCTGGTAGTACATTGAGCGCACTAGGCTGGAGCCTTATAATCAGGAAAGGATCTAATACATTGAGTGTAGTAACCGAATACCTTGGGTGTACTTAGTCTGTGTTGACCTCCTTTAACTTTTTGACTTTAACCAAGAATTTAACTAAGTTTAACCTAAGGGTATTTTGGGTAATTTGAATTATAGTTTGAGATTTAGGTTCCTGTTAATTCTATAGGTGATCGGTAGAGATAACTTTTGGAGTATTGATCAGTGCAACTATTCTTTCGGAGTGCGAGGTGAGTCTTCTCATTGTACTCAATGAGACCAAATAACCATTTTAATCCATTAAAACCCAACAAGAACATGCATGGACCATATCTAAGCATCAAGCAAACATTTTTTATGAACTTATAACCTTAAATCTGCCAAGAGTAGCAACTCAAAGCTTCTGAAGTGGTGTCCAACCACTAGATCTTGCTCATGAGGTCAAAATGGGACCAACAACCTAAAATCATAGATCTCAACTTCTAACGATCAAGCTAGGAACTTTTTACCTTCAATGAGCTGAAAATGCAACAAAGAGTCCAGATCCACAAGCCTT